CAATCAAACAAAATCCCTACAAAACCAATCCTTGAAAATTATTGAATCGTTTAGAGGGGGAGGGAGGGAGAGAGAGATTAGAACTGACTGATTGATTAGTTCGATAATCACATTCTGGTGTGTTACTCACTAATCTCTTCTTACCATTTACAATTGTAAATATCAACTATGCACACATTGGTGTATAAATGTTGTGTGTGCGTGTGACTGTATGTGTGTGTGTGTGGCTATGAGTGTGTAATAGCCCATATCGATTCAATAATCGTTAAGGTCTTACCTTTACACAAGGTCTCTTGCTCGCTTGCACACACAAATACGTATATGTTCACATATCCACTGTAAAGCATGAATGCTAATCAGTGGAGAGTAAGAGAGATAGATAGAGGACAAGTAATTTAATCATAATTGACTAAATGTGTAAATGAGAGATAAGGTTGATTGTGTGTTGGTGTGTGCAGTTTGATTGGTCAATGATAGCGATGATGATGATGGCGAAAGATGATTACAAATGTAGGTATGAATGATATTCATTCATGATTAGTTGATATGTGATAATCAGTGATCAATGCTGAGCTGTGTACTACACTGTACTGTGCTCTATTGTTAACTAATTACTTCTTTTACTGCACCTACTGATTACGTAAGTGATTATACCAATGATAACATTCACTTTAATTGATTTATTATTACTTGTGATCTTGACTGTTATGTGGAGTATTTCGATGAATTATTTTGTATATTCAGCTATGAAATTCACATGTGAAGAGGAATCCCAAGACAGAATTACCTTCCTGGATGTCCTAGTTACAAGAAAACCAGATGATAACATAAAAAGAAATATGCATAGAAAAAGTACTTGGACAGGACAATATACACACATTTTCACAGCTTCATTCCTATCAAGCACAAAAGAAATTTAGTGAACACCCTCACTCGACCACAGAGTTAGTTAGAGCGATATGCTCAGAAGAAGTAATTGAAGATGAATTAAGCATTGTATATGATACTTTGATCAAAAATGGCTATCCCGACAAATTTATCAAGAAACATATGACAAAGAAAGCGGCAGAAAAGGACTACTCACTATCTGTAAACAAGAAGCCACTTTCCATTATGGGTAAATTTTTTTTTGATAAAGTGTCACAGTGTTATACAGTAATGTTTACTGATGACGTTTCGAGCACAATTTATTGCCGTTCATAATCATATCAAGGTAATCACACGACTTCCTAAATTCATTTATATAGCTCCATTGTTTTTCTCTTGATTTGATTGGTAATAGTATTTTCCATATTTCAGGTATGAGTGATGAGTCATTCTTATTGCATGTGTTGGGTGTAGACTCGATGAACAAGGATTCAGATTTTCAGAGCATAAGAATTTAGCTAAGGTAAGAATGGTTGACCCCGAGAAGATAAGTAATTTAGAAAAAAGCTCAGCAATTGCAATACATGCGCTAACACACAACCACACAATAAGATGGGAGAGGGTTAAAATTCTAAAAAGTAATCTAGGTAGGTGGAGAGAGAGGTTGATTACTGAATCCTTCTTCATCGAGTCTACACCCAACACATGCAATAGAAATGATTCATCACTCATACCTGAAATATGGAAAATACTATTACCAATCAAATCAAGAGAAAAACAATGGAGCTATATAAATGAATTTAGGAAGTCGTGTGATTACCTTGATATGATTATGAACGGCAATAAATTGTGCTCGAAACGTCATCAGTAAACATTACTGTATAACACTGTGAGACTTTATCAAAACAAAATTTACCCATAATGGAATTACACTCTACTACAGTGCACAAGTTTTATTCTTATATCAAGAAGCCACTTTATCTACGACTACAATTCAAGGGCGATATTCCAAGTGAGATAATTACGAGGAAATTAAGAAAATCAGTTCAAAGAACTCTTAATGCTGGCGAACTACTCGTATCATTCTCTACACGACCGATGGTGCTACCATGACTGAAGGATGCAGTACTTAGACTAGCTGGCCACTTCACATTGTATCTACCAATTCAACTGCGCTTGTGGTGGTGAGATTTATGTCGGCCGTTGCTCTAGGAACTTGATTTTTCGTGCTCGAGATCACCTCCCAATATGGCTAAGTAAGGGTGTAGTTAAAACCATTAACAGTTCGATGTTGAACCATCTGGTGCAAACCAGCCACAAGCCAGCCAGCCTGGAAGAATCGTTCTCTATCATCAAACCAGGTGCCTTATAAATTCGCGAAATCACCGAAGCACCGCATGCTTCAAACAGCAAAGGCTATTGAAATTCGCCTCAAACAACCTGTGCTCTGTGTACAAAAGAAGCAGGTCCAGCCCCTACTACTGCCCTGGCTTTCAGTAGAGACTGTAAATTCATGAATTTGTAATATTATCTTTCCTAACCTGCCTTTCTGACATTCAGCTTATTTTATGTTGATGCTATTGAGCTGTAATCTATCAATATCATTGATTTGATGTTATTTAAACATTAGCGTTGTTCATAACACTAATTCATTCATTCACTATTATGGATGGATATAGAATTTTTCGAAAAGAGTACTCTTTGTTCAGTATCTATTCTTTTGAAAATTTTTATGATTTGTTCCAATTTTGATCATCAGTCGATATCAGTTGAAGAATCATTGAAAAACCAAGGAGGACACTGAACAACTGGTTGTTTCATCCTAGACTAGGATTTCTCAGTAATACTCACCCATAGGGGTTCAAACCCAGCAGCATGAACCCGACTAACTCAATGGTTCCATGAATTCTTAAGTCTACCATTTCGTGATTTTAACAAGATTCCCACTATCCAATCTCATCGCTGGCGCGAGTATTTGGACTTGCTCCCGACTGGGTGGTGGTGGATCCCACTGATCTTGACTTCACACTAGAACTCACTGCAGGCAACTTCGTTCTGTAGTCAGTCAATAGCATGCATAACATTATTTTTATATGCGTGTGATTTCGGTTTACACCAAACGATATGAAATACAATCTTCAAATATACATAGTATTCTTTTGTTATTGCAGTATATAACCGTGGGAATAACATTGCGACTCTGGCATCAAACAGAATCCTCAAATACACATATATTGTATTTTGTTGTTAATGGCGAATTGAACTGTGGGAATATGTGAGAATAATATTCCGTCGGCAGACATTTTTTGTGCCATACCGCCTGTAATCAGTGATATAAATCATTCGCAAAGGCTGCATCTTCTAGAGCAACCTTGATACCTCATACTTAATATATATATATATATATATATATATATATATATAAACGTATTGAAAATGGACCCAGAGACATCGGCGGACTTGATGACACTACTACTGGAGAAGGTGTGGAAAGAGGAAAAAGTACCTGTGGATTTGAAGAAAGGATACTTACTCAAACTGATAAAGAAAGGAGATTTAGGACAATGTAAGAACTGGGGCGGCATTATGCTCCTGTCTATCCCAGGAAAAATACTAAGCCTCATCATCCTGGAGAGAATCAAACATGAAATGGATGAGAAACTTCGACTGAAACAGGCTGGATTCAGTAGAAACAAGTTATACGTCGGTTAAAACGCAACACTATGGATCATCATTGAACAGACCATAGAATGGCAGTCAGCCCTCTACCTCAACTTCATCAACTTTGAAAAGGCCTTGGACTGACAGCATTGGTCGAGAGGCGATTAGGAAACTACTTCGCTACTACGGGTGCCGCCTACTGTTATACATCTCATCCAACAGTTGAACAACAATGCTGCATGCGAAGTACTCCGCAACAGGAAGCTAATAGAATCCTTCGAAGAAGTGAGGACGGGAGTAAGACGAGGAAGGCTGGCTGACTGCCTACTGTCTCCAATGGTTTTCATGATTAAGGGCAGTTGACTGGATAATGCGACAGACAGACAGCGGTGGGCAACGAGGAGACAGACATAAAATAAACCTACCTAGAAAACTTGGAGAATCTTTACTTCGCCGATGATATATGTTTGATTTTCCACAAACTGGAAGGTATCCAAGTAAAAAGCATTAAGTTGGCGACAGAAGAAGCATCAGAGATAGATCTTCAGGTGATGAAGATTCCTGGCCAACAGAAACAACAACAGACAACAATCAGCCAGCATAAATGGGAGAAATCTGAAATAAGCAACCTCCTTCACCTACCTATTTACCTGGGGAGCATCGTTTCAACCACAGGCCGACGGAACTGATGAGGATAACAATAAAGGATCGGGAAAGCAAGGCAAGATTTCATTTCTCCCAAGTCTGTGTGGAGATCAGCAGCACTATACAGCATGAAAATGAAAATAAGATCCGGATTATCAACTCCGATGTGAAGTCAGTGCTACTATGCATAGACATGATGCTGCGTCGCGAAGTCCACTTCGAACAGACTACAGACCTTCATCAACAGCTGTCTTCATTCAATACTACTCAAGATTAGATGGCCGGCCAGAAAATATCAGCAACAGGGTGGGATCTCTGTCAATGAGCGAACCAACCCAGCAGGAACCAATTGTGCAAGAAATATGCAAGAAGAAATGGAGGTGAATTGTTCATACTCTGATAAAACAGAATACCATCAAGTGACATCATACTCCAGACTCTCTCTCGGGTGGACCCGAACTGGAGGCGGTGAGTTGGTCGTCAGTGTGATGGTGGCATGGAGGAAATTGTACAAAGAGGAGATGAAGATATTTGAAAAGATATGGAGCCAGGTGAAAACGTTGGCAGAGAACAGAATACAATGGAGACATGCGGTTGAAGCTCTATGTTCCTCTAGGAACTATACAAAATACTGTTATTGAGTAAATCAGAAACGATATTGTACCAAATGCTGAGAATTCTGCGCTGCATTTTAATTCCTGTTTTTTGTAAAAAAGCAAATCACTTTTATGAATTAAACACTTTAATAATTGTCAGTTTTATGCAAATTATAAAAGTGTTTCTTCTATTTGTCCTTATTTTTAATTTATTGTTTTGTTATTCTTTAGACACCAGTCTGTGGTTTCATTGATTCATCGTGTTCTCTGTATCCTAAGTTAATCGATCAAACCTTGACAACTCCTCTGTCAACATCGAATACATCAGATTTATCCTCTTCTAGCATGGAACAACAACAACAACAACAACGTCCTGAACGTAATCGTCTATGGCAAAGTGTACGACAGTCAATGTCAAAATTTCGTTCACATTTTATACGAAATAATAATATCCGATCGTCAACAAGTGCCCTATTGAATTCACGTAATACATCCTATCAACAGCGTATGCGTGAAACTTTAATCACAATACCTATCGCTGAAAATGGACATAAAAATGATGATGGCGATAATAATAATAATAGTCATGATTCTCATCAGACATTTAATACACTCCTGCATATACAGTCACCATCATATGGGAAATCTTCATCGCCTTATCCTATGAATCCTGTAAATACTCTGAGTGAAAGTCAAAGACGATTAGGTAAGTTGTGTGTGCTTTCCTGTTTCCCCTCTTCTCAGTGAGTTGTTTGATTCATTGTGACTTAAAATTTACTCTCTAAGAATGTTTATTTAAACGCATAAAAACTTGGTACAATATGTCTGTCACCAAGAAGGATGCACCACACAATAATAATTAAAACAACATAGATCAAAAGAAAAAAAGAAGAGAAAAAAATATATAAGTAGAGAACGGATAAAGAACTTCATCTGGAAGGAAAACAGTTGTGCTTAACAAGTTCAAACAGTATTCGTTAACTATCATCGGAAAGGGAAGAACGAAGGAAATTGTAACACGTGTAATAGCACGCGATAAGTTTCATTGGTTGTTTGTTGCTTCATGCAATTCATTGTGTGAGGGCTGAGATACTACCAGGGCGCTCAGACCCAAGCAGGTGGTTTTATTAAGGGTCCACCCTCCCCCCCGAGCCTTTGACTTGAAGTCTAATCCGGAAGGAGCAGCGGAGCAGCGTCAGGAGCTGCATTCCCATGGTTGACGGTGACCCATATGGGTTCATACGCCATTTGACCCGATTGGATACTGAAGCCCATGTACCCCATATGGTAACTGCTTTTAGTTTAACCACTCGCTATCCAAACAACCTTCCTGACATGGCTGGACCTGCAGGGACAGAGTCCCAGTCAGTTTAGCATGTTGGGTCATTACGGTGTTCAAGCCCGACCACCACGACACGGTAGCAGTTATCGGTCGGGTTATATGGGTAGGAAGAAGTCAACAGGAAGCCTAGGACCTAGCTCGTTACTTTCTAGTGACCAATGTAGACATTAAAATTATACAGGCGGTTACTCAATGGGTCCGGATATTAATATGTGTAAAACTTGGGCACTGTGGTGGTGGCAGTAAGTAATTCCATATTAGTTTGTTTATTAGATGTATCACACAGTTAGTGAAACAGTATTATTTACTGGATGACAAAGTTTCGAACACAATTTATTATTGTTCATAATCATGTCATCAATTATAATCACACGAATTCGAAACTTGAGTTTTATAGTTTTCTTTGTTCTTTCCTATTCGTCGTCGTAGGGGTAGTAGAATTTTCCAGATGTCCAGGTGAACAGGTGTTGAATCATTCCTATTACACGTATTTTCAGCCAGTTGATTCGATAAACAAAGCTTCTGTCATCAATCTCACCCTCCACCCTTATTGTTACATTAGATTTTAAAACTGTCATCTTATCCCGTCATCCTATGCTGTATGGTTGTGTGTAGTTGCATATAGTGATTGCTATAGCTGATATATTCTCTAGATTTCTTATCTTATTCGGGTCACCTAATCTTGATTTTGGTAGGTTATTGTGCTCCGCTAGTCTTACTGAATACCCCTGTTCTACTACTTTCACCACAGGATTGATCCTTTAGCCGACAAAACTTGTTTCTAATTGAGTTTGTGGGTGGTTTGAATGCCAGTCACTTTTATTCCTGCCTTATTAAGAATTCTGTGTAAGGTGGTTTCCGAGGTTCCTTCCTTGTATTGAAGTACTACTGATGATTTAGATTACTTATTGTTGGTGTTATCATGCGCATATTTGACATGCATGTCGTCATTATTATTATTATCAATATTACTGTTTCACTGTGTGATACATCTAATAAACAAACTAATATGGAATGGGTCCGAATAGTTCAGCGGGTAACATCTCTGACTGTAGCACGGGGTGACTATGTTTTGTGAGACGTTTGTTCTTCCAAAAACTCAGGCACGCCTTGCTAGCGATTGCCAACAGTCATCAAAACTTGGATTCCATGACTTCCCATCCAGCGTGGTGATTGACTATATTGCCTACCTGACTGACAGAGTACAGTTAACATCAACAGCAAGGACAAGGCGTATGGCGTTGTCTACATCCTGATGACCAATTAGTGTAATTAGTGTTAACTTGTGAAAGCTACTCATCAAAACTGTACTGTTAAATGATGTCCTGTTTTCTGTAAAAGGTCATAGAAAATGTAAATAATGAAGGTTAAACATTTATGTCAATTGGGTAAGAAAATATGTTGAAGTATATATCAGTAACGAAAGTTGTTCTCCACAATCTCCTTCATACCACCCTCAGAACACCGCACAACTCGTCGTTTCACATTCGGGGTCCACTTGAGCGATGGCCTAGCGCACTATGTCACGAAACGGTTTCCTCAGAATGTGTGCGATCCACCTCGATTTTCTTTGGCAAATGTGTTGAACAATAGGCTAGTGATTGGTTTAATTGAATTTTAGATTTTCCCGTCGATCGATCGGATCGAAGTGCTCAGTTTCAGGTTGACATGTCGGCTTCTTGTGCGGATGTTTTGACGATCTCTGGGCATGTAATTAATTAGAATTTAATTGGTTGACGGTGACTAGCAGCGGAATCCAGGACAACGCGCATTTCGTTCTATTTGGGACTTGTCATTGGATGTACCTGCATTCTCCAGTCAGTGACTGATGATGTTCCCACCGAGGCTCAGACCCAGTGCTCATAGTTTTAAACGCCTTAGCGTTATCCACTTGGGCCACGAGAGCCACCTACTGTACCAAATAGGGCGAAATGCGCATCCTGGATTCCACTGCTAGTCACCATCGATCTACACGCTATGAAATGACAGCATCATTCAGAGAAATAACGATAAAATCTTTAAGGGTTTGATCATAAATTTTAAGAGCTGTTTCGTCCTAGTTGTTTGTGACTCTTCAGTCATGCTCATCCACCGACTGGGGTTCGAACTCAGGACCTTCTAGTTACAAGGCCAGCGAGCTCGTAGACCACTCAGCAGCCACTGGGACCCTATCCAATGTAACGAGAGGGTGCAAGGTGGGTGCCCACCCTATGACGAAACAGCTCTACAGTACCCTCAGGTTTTTCAATGTTCCTCTGACCGATATCCCGTGATAATGAAGTCCTGAAACCAATCATATCCTTGCAAACTCACACGAATAAAATCTTTCAATGATAAAATCCACCTATGAGAACTACCAACAGTATATACTACTACAACTAGTGGATATTATCAGTAGTAAGTTACCGTAAAGACATATACACATCAATATTCCTTATTAGGCACATACAATATCTATGTGATTTAAACAATAAATAGATGACCGCATAGTTTGAGAATCTTTTTATATTTTTGCTTCTACTATAGAAAGCCGATAGATAAGATAGATATGTATATATATGCACATACTCATTAAAAAGTTTTAATTATTTAGAGAAAATACAAGATAATGAGAACTTTTCATTTCGTTTACTTTTATAAAGTGATTCTTTTTCTCTCTGTGGTTTAGTCGTGTGTGTCTGTGTGTGTGCGTGCGTGCGTGCGTGCGTATGTGCGTCAAAGTATGCAGAATAAATAGCTAATCAATAAAATTGCATGAATGATTGCATGAGTAGTGAATGCAATCAAGTAGCTGTCTCAGGTCAAATGTGTGTGTGTGTGTGTGTGTGTGTGTGAGTAATAAGGCGACTTAATATACAAGGAATAGATTTCAACTTACTTACTTATAGCATAATAGTGTTTAATGAATTTTCAAGAGTTTTTTTAATTTAATTACAGATTGATGCCTGTTAGAGAAGCATTTAGAGGCAAACTAGGGAGTACTGGACAATCGATTGTTTTGTCAGCCCGGTTTGGGATTCACTCATCAGTATGAAGCCAACACACAGGGGGCCGGGTGGTTGAATCCGGAGTCCATCACCAGGTGTGGAGTGAGGATAAACATTGGTCAATGATATTGGTTGGTTCGGGTGTCGCTAAAATCACGAATTGGTAGAAGTTGGGATTCATGAACTGGCTATTGAGTGGAGTCCCGGTGGTTGAACAGTCTACCAGCTTGACGGGGGGTGCTGACTTCGAACCCTGGCAGTGGGTGCGTTACTGCCATAGAATACTCCATGGTTTTCAATGGTTTTATAAATGTGCGTCGGTGGCACAGTGGTTAGGACTCTCGCCGACCATGCACATGGTCCGGGGGTCGATCCCCTACCGATGCACACCAGATATCTATGGTTGGCCTGCAAAATTTGGGCTACCGATATCACATGCTGAGAATTCCATAGTTGTAGTAAAAAAATATGGTATGGAATCAAGCTATAGTCAACAATCAACAATGATACTCAATTACCATTCATAATTCATCTCAATTTCTCTTAAACTCTCTTATTCTCTCTCTTTGTATTCTTTAGGCACAGATACTCCATCTTATAATCAAAATAGACGATTTAGTCATCAAAATATTCAAACTCATCGAGAATCTCAAGATTCGACATCGATACTAACCAGTTTCCCTTTAGTGATTGAGGTAAGTGTGTTAGTATTTTATCACGTTAAAGCGTTGGAGGTCAGATCTTAAGGGGTAGCATTGTCATGTTGTAGGACTAGTATATGTGGTTTTGATTCAGAATAGAATTTGATATATCATGAAGTGGTGTACTATTCCGGCTATTTATAAAGATAACTGCTGTCAGAGGGAGTTGATTGTAAATAATAGTTGTTTTTTTTTAATTCCTTTACATTCCCAGTGGAACATAGGGCACCTTCAAGCTACAGGATTGAAGTTTCGGTAGCAGGGGTGTTTATTTTTACGGAATCAGGTTGCTAGCCGACCTTCCCTCTTTGCCAGTCCTATTAGCGACACCTATTTACCGGCTTAGCAAGGTAAAGGAGTGCATCGGTGACCGGGGATCAAACCCTGAACCACACCTGCTTGGTTAGTCGGCGAGCATTCTACCACTGTGTCACCGACGCACAAATAACAGTTACAGGAAGTATGAATCATTTCTACTCTAAACATCGTAATAATGAGATTTAAAAGCAGGCCAGAATCGGAGAGGTTAGATACGCATTCATCGATCTGAAGTAGTCGGTTTTGAAATCTTCTAAACATATCATGCAGAAAAAACTCGGGTTTTCAACACAAATGTGTATAGTCAGCCGGTCACTCCTTCGATATGGTTCAGAAACTTGGTCAGCGCATCACGAAGAGCATTTCCAACATATATGATAGAGAAGATTTGTAGCTCAGATGGATAGTTTTGATGTGGTTTTGTTCTCTGAGCTGGATGGTTAATTTGCGAAGCTTTCATCACCTTACTGGGTGACATCTTCAGCGCATACTTCAATTTAAATTAGCATTTCCAACAGTCTGATTCAGACTTTTATTAACAACTGCCCTCTTCGCTGGCTACCTCCATATTGAAGATCAAATGATCGACTGGCCACAAAGAATTAGCAACAAGAAACTCTTACGTTGAACAAATCAACCAAGAAGCTATCGTTCAACAGATATACAGGAGAAAATGAAGATGGATGGGAAAGACAATGAGGAGACCGTTGAACGACATCGCGCTCAGTGCAGACCAGTGCTCTAGTGGAACCCGAGCGTGAAACAACGAGTGGAGCGTTGGTCTGAGGGTGACGTAGAGGAGGTCGTGTGACAAAGAGGAGGAGATGAGTGACTACAGGCAATTCAGGAGTCAACTAAAGAGACCCCAGAAAAAAATATACTGAAGTGGAGATGTGTTCAGGTTGAAGCCGTATGTTTCCGCCATGTACTTAAAGGAATAATAATAATACTGATGACACTACCCAGTTTCCCTAGACTGAAGCATGTGGAACAAGATTCGAACCCTACCCTATGAAAGTCGATTATTAAAGTCAATGATCCTATTCTCTTGAGTTACGACAGATGAGAAATAGACTGTCAGTAGCGGTGGTATTTTCTTCAACGGAGTTGTGTTGTTAGCCTCATATTGCCCCAACCTTCTCTCTTTTTTTGATGAGTTCGCAAATGATAAAGTGAGAATTAGGAATTTATCACCAGGAGGGAATCGAAGTCGAGCAACACGCCTGGTTAGCCAGCATCATACCACCGCCAAGTATTCCCCAAGGGGAAACTCACAGAATCCTTTAAAGGGAAGACGGGAGTAAGACAAGCTGGCTGCCTATTGTCTCCAGTGATTTTCGTGATTGTGGACGGTTGATAATGCGACAGACAGAGAGCGGCGGGCAACAAGTAGACAGGCATAAAATGGACCTACACAAAAAACGTGGGGATGTGGACTTCTCTGATGATATCTGTCTGATTTCTCATAAACTGGAAGATATGCAAGTGAAAAGCAACAAGCTGGAAGAAGAAGCATTCAGAGAAGATAGGACTTCAGGTGAACATACAGAAAGCAGAAGTGATGAAGATTCCTGGCCAACAGCAACATCAACAACAACAACAACAGATAACAATCAGCCAGCATAAATGGGTGAAATCTGAAAGAAGCGAACTCCTACACCTACCTACCTACCTACCTGGGAAGCATTGATTCAACTACAAGCCGACGGAACTGGTGAGGATATCAAAGCAGGGATCGGGAAAGCAAGGCAAGCTCTCATTACTCTCAATTCTGTATTGAGGTCAACAGCACTATTCAGCATGAAAATGAAAAATGATCCAAACATTCAACTCCTATGTGAATTCATTACTACTTTATGGATCAGAGACTTGGTGCCGCGCAGTGTCACGAAGACCACTTCGAACAAACTACAGACCTTCATCAACAGCTGTCTTCTCTCAATACTACTCAAGATCAGATGATCGACCAGAAAAAATCAGCAACAGGGCGGGATCTCTCCCAATGAACGAACCAACCCATCAGGAACCAAATGTGCAAGAAGAAATATTCACACACATACTATCATCACTCACAGATACACACATATCAACAACACAACACAACAACTAAATATGCAGGAAGAAATGGAAGTGGATTGTTTGCCATACTCTGAGAAAACAAACCATCAAACGCCAAGCTATCGCTCGATTGGAACCCGAATGTCATGCGGAGAGTTGGTTGCCATTTCGAGGGTGGGGTGACATGGAGTCAGGTGATGAAAACGTTGACGGAGAAGCGAACGCAATGGAGACGTGTGGTTAAAGCCCTATATTCCTCTGGAAACTAAAGAAAACAATAATGTATTAATCATTCATACTTTAAATACACTGAAATATATGCTCATCTATTTATTTTCTCACTGTCTGTTTGTCTATGCTTTTTTTGCAGTTTGATGTCGATATCAACAAAGAACCCTGGTTTCATGGTGTTTTGCCTAGAGCTGAAGTCGAACGGTAAGTAGTCATAGTAGTAATATATAACACTATCTAGCATATTACTCTAAGGTATTTTTATTTTGCGTAAAACTTTCAATACATGTTTGTGTGTGTGTGTGTGTGCGCGAGTGGTGTGTGTAAATATTTCCAGATCTGATTATTATTATTATTGATTGAACTGTTTCGCTACTCCTTCAGTCGTCTTTTCTTTCTCTGAAATTGTAAGTTCCTCCTCCTTTCCACTCCGCCCCCTGCTCAACATTCTTAATGTCTATAACTTACTCAGGTTACATTACACTTTATTCTTCATTATTACTAATATTACTATTCATATAAATTATGATCTGAATTTGCTTTTTTGCGTTATTCTTGTTGTTTTTATCGATCCAATGCAAGAAGAACGATTGCTTTGTTTGTTTGTACTTTCTCTCTCTCTCTCTAAAGGCGTGGCTATCACACCACTAGAGGTAACAATATTACTCTGCATATTTGTGACTTTCTCATAGCATGCATATATATACATGTACACTACTGTGTTTATATGCGTTACTGCGTTACTCATATAACCGTTGGTTGTGCCAATAATTCAACAAGGTGTGTGTGTGTGTGTGAGAGTAGTTATGAGTAAAACAAAAAGATTGAGTATTTTCTTTATTTTTGAAGAAGAGGCACTCCTCCTGCTGCTGTGGAGTGAAGTGATTTGTGGGTGTTGTGTTGACCAACTAACTCACTTCGTATTGTAGGCATTTGAGTCCACCCCTCGGTAGATTGATTTTAACTGAAATTACCACTGTTTGCCAACCTACGTGGTCCGGCTATCGATCAATTATTATTATTATTATTATCGTAATTATTGTTCCCTTGGGTTCCGAGTGGAACATAGGTCTTCAACCTGAGCACATCTCCACTTTTGCAATTAGTAGTGCTTTCTGAGCTGGTTGGTTTATTTGTGGAGGTTTCGTCGTCGTCGTCGTCCCCCCCCCCCATGTTGGACAACATCCATCACGTTCAGCGCAATTTTGAGCATAAAGTGTGAACCGACTTAAATTGTTTCCATGAGGGATAGAATTGTGTGCGTCTCCCGGTAACCATCTTTACACATGTATTGATCATTTTCTATTAATTTTGGATTTTAAACTTTCTCGCTATATGTGATTTACTTTTTATTAGTTGGTAGACTTGGTCTATATTAACGTGTCTGTTAATTGCATATTCGTTTGAGTACCAACCAGGCTTCTAGGAATTCCCTGGCTGCACTTTTGGTGATGTTTCGTCTGTCTAAAATTTCGACATTATCCCAATGAAACTGATGTTTATAATTATCTATATGCATTGAATTCGGACACCAAGGGAACATTCACTCTAACCGATGTAATGCCTGTTACAGTTCATATAATTTATTTTGTAAATGGTATTAATTTTATCTTCTTTTTATGTTGGATCTTACGGTTTGCACAATATCGAAAGAAGTAATTTTGCTGGCTGGCTTGTGTGCTATATCTATATCAAACGGTTTCAATATTCTAGCTGTTATTTCAGAGATATTTTTTTATATATATGGTAGGATGAATTTTCTTGTGGTCTTTGATAATGGTTCCTTGTTGGTGGTGTTTTGATTCGATTTTAAACACTTTTTTGATAAAATAGTGAGGGGGATATATCCATTCTTTTTGAAGACCGTTTGTAGGTATTTTTCTTCCATTCTCTTCAACACCGTAGTGTTGCTGTGTGTGAATTATTTTAAACTATGTCTGCATACAGTTTCTTTTGTGAGTAATTGGATTGTTGCTAGTATAATTGAGCATTTGATCTGCATGCGTTACTTTTCAATATACTTGTCTTTCTAAATTTCCTGTGTTTGTTCTCCTGGTTAAGACATCTAAAAATGGGATTTTGTTATCTAATTCTTATTCTTTCCTTTGTGGATATAATATCTTCAAGTATGTCGTTAAATTTTCTCATGTTCTGTACTCTTTAGCTTGGTCCACGATTGCTTATAATCTCTCATCTCCTTCTGTCTGTCTGTCTGTCTGTTTTCGACATAGAACTTTGCACAAATGTGCGGAAGTTCAAGTCGCCACATTCCGTGTAGCACGCGAAGCAAGAGAAGAAAGTACAAGAAAAGCATAATAGAAACAGTGAGCAGAGGTGTGAGACAAAGGAGTAATAAAGAAATACAAAACAGTTTCATTGAAGATCATAAGTCACAGGGAGTGGATGCATCTGCGCCACTGAGAACGATCACTTTGAGCCATGTCACCAATTGTTTCCAACCATAGATTTTTACCGTCCCGAGGACCCCAGCCTGGAAGTCTACACCTTCCTACGTGGCTTAGACCAACTGTTGTGGATTTCATTGACTGGTGAGGCCAAGTTTTTGTTTGACCGCCGCTAGCTTTTTTCCAGCCCGACCCTATATCCTCTAACATAGCTCGTCGAGAGAGGCGATGGCTTGGCATACGTAACACATGTCCTAACCATCTCAGTCTTTGTAGCTTCACGACTTCGTCGATTGATTTCCCCTGTTTACCTAGAACTCTACGCCTAACCTCCATCTTTATCTCTATCATCTCCTTCATATCACCGTCGGACTCTTATCCAACTCGTCGTTTCCTATTCAGGTTTCACCAGAGCACTGGCCTCGCGCGCTTTGTCATTCGAAAGTCTTCTCATTGTGTGTCTCATCCACCTCTGTTTTCTTTCACATATTTATTGAATGATAAGTTCTTGGTTGATTTGTTCAACGCGAGAGTTTCTTGTTGCTAATTGTTTCTGGCCAGTTGATCATTTGATCTTCAATATGGAACCATCAGCCATCATATACCAGTTTACACCGTCTTTTGCATAGACGTGATATCCGACTATCGACCAAAGGGCGGGTGTACTGCTCAGCAGACCGCTCTGGCATCTTTTATTGCTGGCTGTGAGACCTGGCCATTGAGAGTGGAATACATGAAAAGATTAGCTATCTTCGATCATAGGTGCCTGCGTTCTATCTCCTGTATGAAGTGGTATAATAAGGTGAGGAATATTGAGGTTACGCATCCATCGAGCGCTAGGTAGGTGTGAGGGGAAATCAATTGACGAGGCTGCGAAATTACATCGACTGAGATGGTTAGGACATGTGTTACGTATGCCTAGTCATCGCCTTCCTCGACAGCGGGCAATGTAAGCTGACATAGGGTTAGGCTGGAAAAGAGCTAGCGGCGGTCAAACCCAACCATGGCGGCACCAGTCAATGAAATCCACAACAGTTAAATTGAGCCAGCCACGTAGGAAGGTATAAACTGACTTCTTCATTGGGGTCCTCGGGACGGTAAAAACCAATGGTTAAAACAATTGGTGATATGGCTCAAAACCGTTCTCAGTAGCTGGCGCAGATTCATCCACTCCTTGTGGCTTATAATTTCCAATGAAACTATGTTGTTCTTCGACATTACTATTCCTTTGTCTCACACATCTGTTTACTGTCTCTATTCTGCATTTCTTCTACTTTCTTCTGTTGCTTTGTATGCTACAAGGAGGGAGTGTGGCAACTTGAACAACCGCACATATCTGTGCAAAGTTCTTTGTCGAAAACAGACAGATAGGTAATATGAAGCCAGTAAAGCGCACAATTGTTGATAAATTTCTGAATCAGACTATTGGAAATGGTTTTCCTGACGCGTCAAGTTTCTATGCCTTACAGAAGGTGGAGTTCAGAAGATTCCGAAAACGAATTTAAGATTTATGAAGGTGTACCTTGCCTTTCTGATTTCGACTGGCTTTGATATCCTCATCCGGCGAGTCGCCTGTAGTTGGAACGATGCTTCCTAGATGACTGAAAGGAGTGTCACCTCTTTCAGATTTTTTTGCATTGATAGTGGTTGTTGTTCGTTGATTATCTGCCTCACCTCGGTCTTCGCTATGTTCACCTGGAAGTCCTGTCTTCGCCGTCTGCCTCTTCAGCAACTTTGTTAATTTTTGCCTTTTGATGTTCGATTTTGTGTGATATTAAAACACACACACGTGAAAACTAAATGTTCTAAAGTCTTCTTATCGCTCAGTCCAACGTATTCCTGTCTCCTCATTCCCCCAAAGTTTGATTCATGAACCAGTCCACTACAATTATAAGAATATCATCGATGATAAAAGAGCAGACAGCCTTTTCTTGCTATCGTGGATTGTGATAACCTGTGAAACACAGTGTAAAGGATACTTTTAGATTTGTTGAAAGGATAAAAGATTTAAATGTTGACAATAAACTCATCATATCATTTGACGTATCTTCCTTATTCACCAATGTACCACTTATGGAAACAGTGGACTTTCTATGCGAAGAACTCAAAAGACGAAACATCGATGTTGGCATTCCTATATCTTTTATGAAAGAGCTTCTCTTGAAATGTAAAATGAATGTCCACTTTTTATTTACTAAAGAACTATATAGATAAATCGACGGTGTGGCAATGAGGTCACCACTAGGACCCATTCTAGCCGACATTTTCCTTGCGAAACTAGAAAATGGGCCTTTGAAGGATGTTATTAATGAACTTGAATTTTATTGTCGGTACACGGATGATACATTTTTGATTATGAAAAACGAGAAGGAAGCAAAGACCATCCTGGATAAATTTATTGAGGTACATCCTGCAATAAATTTTACCATCGAGACAGAAAAACAATCTAGTATTCCATTTTTAGACGTCTTTATGGCCAGAAAAGAGGATGGCACAATAAGAAGTGTTTATAGAAAGCCTACATCAACTGACTGTCAGTATACTCATTTCCTCAGCTTTGTGCCCTTGAAATGCAAACCCAATTTGATAAAGTGCTTAGTTCACAGAGCAAGAGCGATTTGTTCGGACGAATGTCTTGATGAAGAACTGAATAATATTAAACGGTTGCTAAGTGAGAATGGTTATCCTGAAAAGTTTATTGATAAGAATATGAATTTGAAACCAAAGCAGCCGAAGTTACCGACAGTTTCGAAAAAGGCCTTATTTTTTAGATGCAGTTCCTTGGGGACAACATTAGCG